TGACTCATCACTGTTGTTCCGATCGATCAGAGCCGATCGGTCTTGTTTCGTCATCTTCATAGCCTGTATCCTCAAAATTTGAAGACGATTGCGCGGGAATCAATAAGCCCCGCCCTCATGCCATATAAGGTAGGGGGTTAGCGATCAAGCAGTTCAGTTCAATCGACTACTCTTCGTCAGCTGCCGGCTAGCCGCCTCCCGCTACCCTTCCTATTTCGGTGCTTTAACTGTAATAAATCGGCGTCCACGGGACTCTTCAGACATCCAGCCAACCAACAAACCCTACAGAGAACATAATCGGTTCAACTACTCACCGACTACCAGTAAGGTCACGAATCTGTCCCCAACTACGTTCTAGAATCTGCCATTCGCTTCTGTATTTCATCTCCACCGATTCCTGACGAGCGCAAGAGCTCTTCTCCCTTCAGGCGAACTTGGGAAACCTGAACCGCAATAGCTGAGCCTTCGAACCTAACTTTTAGCGCAGCGGTTAAGAATGCGTACCAGAGGTTCATGGCTTGCCAGCTCGGTGTCAAGGCGACGATGTTTACGGCGGAGGTTCTGCACACCGGGAAGATCGCGTCCATAGTCATCCGATGAGACAAGAAGCTTCTTCTCCCTAAATTTTAGAGCTCATTTGCAGAATCGACTTTATCATAGAGTGGTTATTTAGTCCGGGTGAATAATCAATCTCACTTGATCCATGACTCCTCATCATCGATGTCACGGAAGAATTGGTGAACATTGAGGGCCTCGTTAAGCTTGTCACGGCGATCATTTGCCATCTCTTTCACACGCTCATAGCGATCAGCAATCACCTACAAATGACGGGAACTTCTCTCGAAATTCCAACTTGTTAACATTCGCATCCCTGTACCTTGCGACGCTCTGCAATCTGCTGACCAGCAAACTGATCTCGTTCAAGGAGGGAATCCGCTTGCTGATTCATCTCCTGGACACGATCCTGGTGGGCAATGATGTCGGCTTCAAGCAGTTGGTGCTTCTTCAGAAGATTCTCGATTGAAGCCAAATCCTGAAATACCCGAAATATCCCAAGGTTTTTAAATGAGAAAGAAATGAACACTGACCTTTCCGTAGTCATCAGACTGCAAGAGGATTTCGACTTCACCAAGCCAAAACTCCAGATCTTTAACAGCAGCCATGAAGCTCTTCTGCTTGTTGGCCTCCTTGAGTCTAAAACGAGTGAACCCTCATGCATTGGTCTAAAAATCGCGACAGCATCAATTCTTACCTGTAACTTTTCTCTGTGGTAGTCTTCACGAGCAATTCCCACTGGTCATTCAATGCCTTCAGGCGCGCGCTGACAGCATCTTCACCTCCAGCACATTTCGCTCCATCTATGAGATTCTGACCAGCCGTGATGAGAGTGGCGATACGGTCAGCATTGGCAGCCAGCTCGGCTTCGAATGCCTGTTGCTTCTGATGTTTTTGCTGGATGTTGGTTGGGTCGCGGTAGTTCTCTTCTTGAGCAACCTCAAGCAGTGACATAAAGGAAGGGTTTATTCACGAGCGATTAAGATTCACGCAAAATCGAATTAAAATCTTTCCCAAACAGCTGTTTCAAGGGTCGGACAAAGTATTAGTAGAAACGCTCACTTGGAATTTCTCCGCAATCCAGTTCTCAATCTCATCCGCATCACGACTGAATTGCTGCAACGTCTGACTTTCTCCAAGTTTGCTTCGCTTCTTCAATGAGAGCAGCCTTTAGACGCTCCCATCTAGAATCAATCAATACAAATCGATATTGAATCCGAATAAGGAGAGAAATAACAAGGTAGTCACCTATCGAGAATCATGTCGCGTTTGCGAGCCACCGCATCCTTGTCATAATGATTGCTGTTGATCAGCTGATTGGCGAATTGCTGGAAAAGTTGGATGTAAGTAGAATAGTATATTTCAAAGCTGAGCACCATCTACCTGCAAACCAGTGATCTTCTCCTGTTGACTGTTGATGGCCTTATCGAAATCTTCATGTTTCTTGATCAGCGACTCCACATTGTCGCCAGTTGGATCTTCCTGGGCCAAGAAGTTTTCCCTAGCAGACATCCAGGTGTCAGCCTAAAACAATATCAGTTCTGAGAGCAATACCTAATGAAAATTAATCTCAGTAATTTGAATTCATTTGGACCTGTTCACAATCTCTGTAGAAGAGCTGCAGCTCAAGACACTGGTCAAGGATGTTACGCCGAGCCACCCAAGCATCTTCAAGTCCTTGACGAGCTGCATTCACCTGAAAAATCAGAATCAACTTCAGCTGTTATATCATAAGTTGAGAAGAAATCTGGGCGCTGTTCGGGTTGGTGCGGGAATTGAATGGTGCTCAGATAAATTTGCGCGGGCCACCTTGTGAAAACCTGTAGAACTCTGTGGCCAAAGTGGCTCACTCGCACCGTTTACAGCTTCACCTGGTTACCAATGAGGCCTGTTATTTAGCATGAATAACAAAAGCAACTAGCGAAAGTGCAAAGTGCCCCCTAACTCGCACACTTAGGCATAAATGTTGAGGATAAAAATCGATCAGGACAGTCATTTACAACGCTGTGGCAATACACCGCTAGCATGAATGATTGTTGCTTAAGAAGTTGATTGCCAAAGTTGTCAAAGGCATGGTAATGTTGCACTGCACGCGGCTGAATCGACTCTGTCCATATTTGATGGCTTTCGAGAAGCGGCTTCCGCACTATAAACTGGGCGTTGGGCTGGGGTAGAAGGATGGATTAAATAATTAACAGTTATTAGTGAGCTGAATGAAGTAATCTTACTCGTGACGCGTCATATTGCAGAGTTCGGATCAGGGCTGCTTCACCACGGGAACAGTATTTGATCATGCAGATATCCACTGCATAAGATCGCGATAACGATAAAATCTCGATAGTCATAAGAATCAGCAGTTTCTCTTCTGAGGTTGTTGCTTTGGCCGTGTGGAGTCTGAAGTTGGGAAATGTTAGATAATAAAGGGCAGCACCGTCAGGCGAACATCTTATACGAAACTGTTCCAGCTGCTCATTGAGGCTTCGGCGCTGAGGGCCGTCAGCAGTCGTCAAGATCTGTTCTGCAGCCTCTGGGTGACTCTGACGAAGACGATTGGCCTGAAAATTGAAAGTAACTATCTCAAGGACATATAATCAATAGCACCCATACCTTCTCATCCAGGCTCTTGATATATCACCGTAAGAGCAGCACCGAATTCCTTTCGACCCGCTCCGGTGTTATACGAGCAGGATACTGAAGAAGCTTGACTTGATGCGAAACGGTCCGAAGTCAATACCGAATCCAAGAGTCATCGTCCTTCCTCGCTGAATCCAATCTCCCTGTCCGGTCGACGACGTCCGCGGTGGAACGCTGTGTGCACTTCATGGTGCAGAAGCAGGGGAGCTGCTGCTTACTTGCTTTCGCGGTCTGGTTCTTCAAGGGGCGCGCCATCTTAAAATGCTAATTCAAGGCTGAAGTAGAAGAGCACTAGGACGAATATTTTACCATACCGTGGGCATCTAAGATGGCCTCATTTGCCTCCAATATGGACAGCAGTCTCGTCTGCCAACAGAAGTAAAAGCAGTTAAGCAAAACAGGACGAATTAATTTGGCACCTTCCAATTTCTCGGAGACAACTGACATAATTTCCGTGATCGTTGAACCTTCCATGCTATAAGGCGAAACGGTTCGCTACTACAGTACACGCCATTTCTTCATCCTCAAAAGTACAAATAGGAACCAAGGCCGATGGGCAGTGGCCTGCTCGCTGGCGTGCGACTGACCATACTCGATCCCGACCGGCCTTGGTCCGTAGACATCGGGTAGGGTTATCAGCATGACGCGGTGTGGATAAGTACGTGGATTTCGCATCTCGGCGATACTTCCCAGGGTGGATAGAGCCGGCAAGCTTAATTGTATACCGCTGTAGATGGCTGACCTCTGTCACTCTGGTCGGAGGCGCTTCACATTCAGATACAAATTAACGGAATATGAAGAAAAAAAACACGTTTCGGCTGGCGTGAACACTGCTTTACGCGAACGCGGCTCTGGCTTATAAACCCCAATGGGAAATGGTTAGTAATGAAATCACGAATCAAGCTAAATTTTGTTCTTTCTCGTATAATTGCTGCGTTGCATTAACGATTTCTTACAATTGTGCTGTGAGACCCTCACTGTGAACGAACCCTTTCCCCCTTTCGTTGGAACATGCAGTAAAGCAGTAGGTTCTTCTAACTTACGCTGATACCGTTGAACCGTTGAACTAGAAGTATAGTGGTAAAAAAACTAGGTGAAAATAAGCTCTCATCTCTTACTTATTCCTATCAATTGATATAATCCCTTGTCACCAGTCACCATTACCACAAAAACTTTATGATATGACAGTGTGAAAGGGGAAACGCCTCTTATCAGCCCCCATCAGTTGTTATTCCTCTCTGTGACCCATCAGTAATATCCCCGTCACATCCACTGTCACTTATTGGAACCAACTTCCTACTGATACTGATGCGACTTGCCCGGCTGAAGCGCTGAGTTTTCAAATCCCCCGAGGATCCCCTTATCAGAGTCAATATACAATTGTTAGATACGGTGCGCCGCTCCAGTCGTTGGGTATCCTTCTTGTGCAAGTAGTGACAGCACCAGGGGCTAGAAAACTATCCCAGCTCTCCGTGACTCCACTACAGCGAGCGAGCGTCAACCCCACCACCGCTAACAGGAGACGCGTCTCTCGTTCTATGTTCTTAGGACGACGGGGAGTACCCGCTGCAGTTGGATCAAGGCCTGCACTTGTTTAGATGCCCGGTCGACGCAGGGCCTGGCTTCAGTATGTTCTCACTATTTTCGGGCGGGCATGTAATCGGCGTTATTCTTAATTGTCGTACTGAACGCGCTTTCGAGATGCCATGTAAAGCAAGTGTCTGGCTTTCCTTCATTTATATTTATCATTCATTACGCAGCACATACGTCATATCTTCATCCGTCTCGCAAGTGAGACGCGTTTAAATAAACTATCCGAGCGACCTAATTTCTGTGTCACAAAGCTCGATCCGGTTCAACTAACATACCAAAAGATGCACGCTACCGTAACCCTTAATTCGGACGCCAACTCCTTGAAAGTTTGTTTCCCTTCTCAAGAGTTTTCTTCCGTGTTTTTATTGTTCCTTTTTTTGCATTGGATGATATCCATTACTGGGAGTGATAAAGGGATTTGTGAGCCAGGGGTTGCACAATGACCGCAGGGCTGTGTGACTGACAGGGAGCGATCTTGTTTATGGTGTTCTTGAGAACTCTTCTTGCTTTTTCTCTTCTTTGGAGAATTACTTATCAGCTACTGTTTCGTAATTGAAAAGCAACTATCCATGACACTTTTATCGCGGGAGCTGTCTTCAATGCGTCCTGCCACCCTTAAATGATATTCATGACCCGTACACTACATCATGTCTTAGAACTAAACGTCCCACCGATGCTGAAACCCACGTTATGAACTTGGTGACCTTCACCTAACACCCATTATCATCTCTTGTCAGCTAATATCACTTCCTGCCACCCACCAATGAAGTTCATATCCAACCCCCTATGTCACTTCTTGGAATCAACGCTCCACCGCTGCAGCGCAAGTTATGAACTTGGTGACCCTCCCTTTTTAAGACCCCATGTCAGCTGTTATCACTTCCTGCCACCCATCATCCATGTTCCCGTCTCACCCCCCCCCCCCCCTCCCCCCACATATCACTTAACCAGTTCGAACTCTCTACGGCTGAATCAAAGGAATTCATGATTTCCTCAGACAACACACACCAACAAACAAACTTAGCGAATTATATACAGTGGGATACTTACCCGTTTACAAAAATTCCATTCTATATAACTCTTCACTTATATTTATTCACTTAACTCATAGTCAGTAACTTGATGAGAGGTCAGCAGTCAGCGTAAGCAATTAAGCGGGGCTATCCCACTGGCACGTATGGTGCGAAAAAGTAATTATAAGGTCATCTCAAACTATATCACCACTCCCGGGCCCACCCAGACAAGCGCCCAGTGTAGCCAAACACGCTTTCAATCGGCGCTCTCTCATTTCCGCTTGTTCTCTATCACTTAGTGCGCGTTCCGTAAGTGCTGCACCATGAGGATAGCGCGGGAGAAGTAAAGAGCCATCACCCATATATACCATTTTCACTTTAAATTCACCCTTTTCAAACCAAATTCACCCTTTTTCAAACCAAATTCACCCTTTTTCAAACCAAATTCACCCTTTTTCAAACCAAATTCACCCCTTTTCAAACCAAATTCACCCTCACTTTTCACATCAAATTAACCACTTATAAGGGCGGGCATCATCAAGCAGATCACGCCAGACATCACTGCGAGCCCCGCCCCGACGGCCACGCCCACTTGTCAGCGCGGACATAGATTCTCAAATCTTTTTCATAACTTCTGCTTTTGCTGTTTCCCACAAACACTTTGACTGGAAACGACCGGGCATTGACACATGGCCGACTCCGCCCATTCTCTAAAGGGTTTGGCAATCTAGGCTGACCACGCCCACTTGCTTTTCGCGGACTTTCGATATTTTTCAATTTTTGCATTTTAGGGCTGCTGCGTGAAGCCCCGCCCACTGTGAGAGGCTCCGCCCACTTTGAAGAAGCCCCGCCCACTTTTCAAAAATGGTGCAAATCGGCAGTATAGAGCCTTGGCTTGCATGCTAGGGCCTCGTCCGTCACTCGAACC